CTGCCTCTGGAGTCCTGGGCTCCGGCTCCCCTCGGGCCGAGGTTCAGCTTCGCCCGGTCTGTGCTGAGCGCACGGATTCTCTCCCCCCCTGCAGCCCCTGCTTCACCCCCTCCCGCTGGGCCAGTTTCCAGTCGCCCACTAAGTAAATATTTACCCAGAGAGTGGGTCTCCCCGCAGAGGAGGCCTCGACAGCGCCCTGGAAAGGACTTATGGCTTCTCCTCAGCCTGTGCCAGCTGCGGGCCGTACGGGTTGTGTTTTGGTTTTGGTCTTAAATTTCTTTTCGTCGTTGCGATCTCGGTGTGATCTCCTGGTTCCAGGGCGGGCAGTGAAGAGGGGGCACTGAGCCCAGCTGACCTTGCTCTTTCCCGCATCCCCGCGTCCCTGGGCCCACGGAGGAGGCTTGCCATCCCTCAGTCTCTCCTTCCCTCTCTCCCTCCTTCTACCCCCCTCCCTCGTGCGTCTCTGTCAGGTCCCTGTCTGTCTTGGGGTCGCCAGCTCCCTGGCTCAGTGTGCGTCCCCCGGAGGGTGCAGCGTCGGCCTCTTATCTAGGATCCCCTGAAGCTTCGGCTCCTCTGGTCCCAGGACCCCGGCCTCGGCTTGGGTACTTAGCATCCCAGACACCAAAGCCTCCACTGGTGCCCCAGGGAATGCGCACCGCGGAGAGCGCCACACACCCCCATTGCCCCCCCCCCGCCCCATCCACTCCGGTGTAGTGAGTCCTGTGGGGCTGGGGTCCACCGCAGCTAAGACCGCACGGGCCGACTCCAAGTCCAGCAGGTGGAACTGGAGAGAGAGCGGCGGACTGTTCAAGAGCGCGGGGAATGAGGCAGATGAAGGCGATGAGGGAACGAGAGGGGGTTGTGTTAGGTCCACCTGGCCAGAACCCTAGCGATACGAGTCTCTGGGTCGTTCTGGGCCGGTGCAGTGCATCCCCTAAAGCCCTCGCACAGCTCCTAGACCACATCAGGGCACTGGGTCTTGCCACTCCCAGGGCGGAACTTTAACCGACACCGCAGCCCCGCAGGGTCAGAGGAGCGTCGCTGGGCGCAGCCGAGCGCAGGAGAGTCCGCCACAGCAGGTGGCTGTGCTTCCGCGGGGGGCGGGGTCAGGGGGATTCTCGGTCAAGATGCCCAGCATGTTTATTCCTCCAAAGAAGCCGAAGGCAAACTCGTAAGCGCTCCTGCGATATCACAGTGTTAGCTAATTTGTACCCCCGCCCCAAGCAGCAGCTGCCAGTTCTAGCTGCTTGGATTCCCGAAGGACCTCCGTCCGCGTTGTAAAGCGCTTGTCGGTGCCACACAACAGGTATTGGGGTCAGACCCAGGGAAAAGTCCCTAGTTGTGGGACTTTTCGCAAGAACCCGACTGTAAAGAATTAAGTATGTTTGAAGTCATCTTTCCTTTATCGTTCAAATCTTTCATATCTCTAAATTTGAACTTGGAGTGCGCACCATAGGAGAGAACGGATCTGGAGATTACACTTGGGTTTAAAAACCACAACTGATCATTAGTTTTGCCACTTACTGCCCCGGGATCTGGGCCCAGTCAGCTTCCCTATGCGTAGACCAGAGGCACACACATCCCTGGGGATTGTGGGAGGATCGGCCGAATCCTGCGCGCACCAGAAGGAGCGTTACTGTCAGAGAGCAAGCAGTATGTGTGTCACAGACCCGAAGCAGTACAGCTCCCAAGTTCATTAAAAATGTCCCCCGTATTGTTTTAAAAATTTTGTTTAGCATTCTCCAAAACCCACACCCAAAGCGTGAATAATTTTGGCCACCAAAAAAGAGTACTGTACACTTCAGATTAGAATTAGGGTGAACGAAAGTGGAAACTCAGAGAGAGAGGGTGAACTTCAAGGCCTCTGGTAGCTAAACCGAAGATGCGGGAATCACAAACACACACACACACACACACACACACACACACACACACGCAGGCCGGGTGTTCATCTTGGGACCAAGTCTCTCTCATAGTTAAACAAAACTCCTTGGCGGTGGTTTGCTAGTGGGGGAAGCCAGCAGATGTTAGTACTGAGCACCCGCGCACCAGCACCGTGGCTGAGCGCAGGGCGCTCTGGCCTCCGCTGAGTGTGCCTCGGCCAGGAGACCTGTCGGTGGCTTTAGGCGCCGGTGGTTGCGTTCTCTGCACACAGCGCGGCCCCTGCCCGGAGCCTGCGTGGCTGACATTGGGCCCCGCGCTCCTGGGTGAACCCTCCTGTAGAGGCTGCTGCGTGGAGCTGGTCGCGGGGGCGGAGGAGGGGTTTGCACCTGGCGGTCAGTGTGGCCGCCACCTCTGCCTCGGCCTCCCCTAAACCTCCTTGTCTCTACGACGGTTCTATCTTCCCGCACCCGCGCTGTCGCCACCTGGCTTGGGGTGGCGACACCTGGTAACAATTCTAAGACGTTTGTCTGTCCCCCAAAGAAGTCTCCTTAGCTCCTTCCCTTTTTGAGTCTCATATTGGGACCAAACGCTTTAATGTGCTTATTCAGCACTTTTATCAGCATAATTTTGCTGTCTATTTGCGCTGCTCCTCGGAAGGTGTCAAACACCGAATTTCATTGTATTTAGTCACCCAGGTGCCGAGCAAGCTCGAGGAGACAGCGGAAGGACTTTCCGGACGGCGCTGTCGCTCACGGCCCCGCACCAATCACCGCGCAGCTTGCCCTCGGGCCCACCCCTTTGGGGGGCGTGTCCTCGGTGAGTGATAGACAGAGCCGCCCGGCCCGCTCAGCCCAGCCCACGTTGCTGCTTAGATTGAAATGCAGAACTCAAGCCTCTTTCAGCGGGGCACAGACTTCCTTTTACTCCTTCCTTTTGCACTCTCGCCGCCTCCTCCCGGAGAGAAGCGGAGGCACCCACGGCCTGGGGCAGCGACAGGCTGGGACACTGAGGCCGTGCGAAAAGTTTCTTTCTGGAAGCTCGGAACTGGGGCCCGGTTGGTGTGCTGCTCGGAGCAATGGGTGAGTGGCGGCGGGGGACGCTGTCAGAGTCGGGGAGGGAGGGAGGGAGCAAGAGAGAGAGAGAGAGAGAGGGAGGGAAAGAGCGCGAGGGCGCGCACCCCTGAGCGCTCACACTTTCCGTATTGACTTTGCTCGTGTTCCTACAACTTGTAGGAACATGCTAAGGGTCAGAGGCGCACAGCAGTTCAGTCTAAACGCTGGCTACTGGGTTGCTGTTGATGCCAGTTTCTGATGTTAAGAGAAGGGAGCGGTGGCAAGCCCCGCAGCCCCTGTGGCAGACCAAGTTTTGTTTCACATACTGTACACGCACGCACTCAAACAAACAGAACAGAGAAAAAGCCTGCAGCTTCCCCAAGACCTTGTCTAATTGCGCAGGTCCCTAAGGCGGGGCGCTGGGGACCAAGGGGAGCGGCCCAAGAACTTTAGCGCCGAGTAGCCGCGAAGGAGCGGGTTGCAGGCGTCCTGAGCGATTTCCTCGCCGGCTTCCGAGACTTTTGAGCGCTCGAAGCGGCCCTGCGTTTCACCACGTTATTTGTTTCTAGCGGCTGCCAGCACCATCGGCACGAGGGAGGGGGTCTGACTGGACCGCGGCGGTTTGGGGCGGTTCTGCAGAGCTCGGGGACCATAGGGTTTGAGGAAAGCCCGGGGTTCCTCGTCCGTGGCAGCCGCCCTGCCCCTTGACGCGCGCGGAGGCCGAGCGGCAGGCGGCCGTCCCAAGCTGCGGGTGCGCGTCCCCGCGCGCCGCGTGTTTGTTTTGCAGAGCCAGCCTTCGGGGAGGTGAACCAGCTGGGAGGAGTGTTCGTGAACGGGAGGCCGCTGCCCAACGCCATCCGGCTCCGCATCGTGGAACTGGCCCAACTGGGCATCAGACCGTGTGACATCAGCCGCCAGCTACGGGTCTCTCATGGCTGCGTCAGCAAGATCCTGGCGCGCTACAACGAGACAGGCTCGATCTTGCCAGGAGCCATCGGGGGCAGCAAGCCCCGGGTCACCACCCCTACCGTGGTGAAGCACATCCGGACCTACAAGCAGAGGGACCCCGGCATCTTCGCCTGGGAGATCCGGGACCGCCTACTGGCCGACGGCGTGTGTGACAAGTACAACGTGCCCTCCGTGAGCTCCATCAGCCGCATCCTGCGTAACAAGATCGGCAACTTGGCCCAACAGGGCCATTACGACTCGTACAAGCAGCACCAGCCCGCTCCGCAGCCGGCGCTGCCCTATAACCACATCTACTCCTACCCCAGCCCCATCACGGCGGCCGCCGCTAAGGTGCCCACGCCGCCCGGGGTGCCCGCCATCCCCGGCTCCGTGGCCATGCCGCGCACCTGGCCCTCCTCCCACTCCGTTACCGACATCCTGGGAATTCGCTCCATCACCGACCAAGGTAAGGCTCGAGGGCCGCCGCGAGGACGTGCAGACTCTCCCTCCGCACCCTCGACCGAGTCTCAGTTCTTGCGGCTTCCGCCCAAGTCTATCCCACCACCTGGGGCTTTTTCCTTTGGAAATGGAAGGAGTCCTCCCAGGGGGTGTCCTGATCTCATTAACTTGAAATTCATGCCCTTGGTTTCCTTACCACACACAGTCTCCGGCCTCATCTCAAACTACCAGACCCATAACATCCCCCCATCCCCAACACATGGTTCGCATTTGCCACCCTCCCCCGCCTCTCGCGCGGCCGCCGCGGCAGCCTCAGACCTGCTCGCTCTCTTCAGGGAACGCGGCCGGGCCGGACTTGGGGCGCAGCCCGGGAGACCCGAGCTGGCGCAGGGCTGCAGGCTGCACACACCGCGGAGGGGGCAGCCTGTTTGGGCATCCGATGCGGCCGCGAGGAGTCGGGCACCCTGTGGAAATTGCAGTGTTCTTCTTGAGGATTCTAGCAATCAGGCCAAATTTGCTCAGGCAGGAAGTTCAAATGTCACCTAATTGGTTTCATTCTTATGCTTCACTTCTTTTTCCTCGGAAACGGAGGTCCCAAAGTTACTACTAGTAACTGGCATGTTATTGCATTGCTCATTCTGGGACTGTGTTTTCTGCTCTCTCTCTCTCTCTCTCTCTCTCTCTCTCTCTCTCCTTAAAAGATATATATGATCTTAGGAAGTGGCACCAACCACCGCTGTCTGTGATGGAGACAAAATGCATGGCAATTCCCTGCTGTCCTCTTTTCTGTCCTCTTCCGTTTTCTGCGTGCCTGCCGCTTCCTTGTAGGGTCCCTCTGCCCCCCGAAATGCGAGTGGCTGTCTAGTCCTTGCACGTTTTCAACCCACTGTTCTTTTCCTTTCTCACCCTTGACCTTGCAGGACCCTCAATGTCTTTTCTGCTTGATAAGAACGATTTCCCCAGCTCCCTCGGGCTTCCTCAAGAGCTCCAAGTTTGTTTTCCTTTACTGCATTGTTAAAACAAAGCAAAGCAAGCAAACAAACAAAAAACAGTGTAAGTTTTTTTTCTAGGTAGGGAGAAAAGAAAGTCAAAATGCCCTAGATGCAAAATATTAAATATTGCAGAGATAAAGAGACTACCTTCTTAATTTCTCAGCCAAAAGTTTAAAATGTGCAGAAGAAAAATTAAATAGGAAGGGGGGGTAGTTTCTTTAATTATTTCCCGCCTTTCTTGGTTACCACCACAGTGGTACAATTATCTTTTAAGTAATTAAAGCCGAGCCCCAATTTCTCATCTTCTTGTTCTCTGTGCATCTATAAGATCCTTCTAGGAGTTCAGTTTTGTCTCATTCGGAGCTGGTTGGGGCTCTCGTTGGAGAGAGTTTGCCCTTGATTTATAGGATAAACTGACCTCACTGACATTTAAAGGAAGCCCCTGTTCATGGGAAAGTGTGAGATCAGCAGAAACGGGGGCTCGAAGGGGGATCTCAATTTCTTAAGATAACTTCAGGCTTGTGCCTACTGATTGCCTTTTGTCTGGGAAGGCAAAGAGAGACTGGCCGTTCTGGGCCAAAACGCAGTGGTCCTGGTGCAAATTGGAACACAATCTAATTCTTTGGAGAGGGGGAGGGACAGTGAGAGAAGACTGACAGAGTTGAAAGAAAACTTTTCTTCCCTAGGGATCCTGCAGTCAGATCAAATGTCAGTTGTAAATGTATTGGGTTGTTGAGACCAGTAACTCTTCATTCGAGATGTTGTTGATTCTGGATGCCAGCTTTAAACAACCCGTTTTCTGACAAGTCTGTGAATATAAAAAGATTGTTTCTATAAATAGTCATTTCTACAAAATGATCACTGCTTCCAGGCACTGTGTCAGATAGAAGTGTTTGAAATCAAATGTGGTGGCTATGTCACACCTTGGTCCTCCAGCCATGGTCCCAAAGACAAGAACATGCTGCGCATAGTTTTCAAACATCTTCTCTTTAAAATTGGACTTGATCACTTAAAGATGCCAATGTTTCAATAGGCACACCGTAGGTACAGTGGTAATCAGCTTACACCATATGATTTTCTTTGCATCTCTTTTAAAAACACAAAGGAGTAAAAAAACAAAATAAGATAATTGACAACTTTACTTTTTTTTTAAAGAAAACACTTAGTTCTACTTTCATTTTCTTAACCTTTTATATCATTAAAAAAAACACAAAACGACCCCCTCTCTACATAACCTTATCACTGACACATGTGGCATTTAGAGTGGTAATTATAGTATTTATTTTTGCATCATATGCACATTCCCTCACATATTTAATGTATAGAGAGGGATAGGGAATCCAGGTTGGTCACAGCAAGGCAAAAACCTATGCACATAGACTTTGCATATGTATTGTAGGCAGCATTTTGTCGTGTTTGCAAAGAACTTTGCAGGTCTTTTGTTCCATCTGTTGACAGAACTACTAGGTCCCTACAGCCTAGGGGCCCCTTACCTGGATGCCTGCGCACCCGCACTGGCGAGGTAGGCCCGCTCGCCCCTCCACGCTGTTCAGTCCCCGCCGTCCCCACGTTTTCCTCCCTGGAGGCTGGGTTAGGCTTGGGGAGATCGGTTCATCCGGCCTCCCTGGTTCTTTCTCCGACTTGGGAAAACTGGGGCACAGCGCTCAGGTTCCCCCCACGGGGTTCTCTGAAGAGCCAGGAGGAAATCAAAGGCCGGTTCGGAAAAGAAGAAACCTTCCCGCCGGCGAGGGTGAGGCGGAGGCCTATTCGCAGGCGCAGGCGGTGAACTTGAGTGAACTTCGAGGGGCCGGGGCTGTGAGCCGCAGAGGCAGCGCCTGGGCGGTCGGGCCCGGGCCTCAGTAGGCGTCTGGGC